TTTGGTTATTCAGAAGAAGTTGTTTAAAGTTTTTAACATATTTGACCCCTGTGACCTTGAATATGGGTGAAGGTCATTCATTTGAACAAACTTGGTAGCCATTAATCTCAGCTTGCTACTGGCCAAATATCATCACCCTGGGCATTTTGGTTTTTGAAAAGAAGTTGTTTAAAGATTTTAACATATTTGACCCCTGTGACCTTGAATATGGGTGAAGGTCATTCATTTTTACAAACTTTGTAGCCCTTTATCCCAGTTTGCTTCTGGCCAAATATCATCACCCTAGGACTTTTGGTTATTAAGAAGAAGTCGTTTAAAGTAAAATATTGACGCCGGATGCCGGACGGACGACCGATGCCGCGCCATGGCATAAGCTCACTTGGCACTTCGTGCCAGGTGAGCTAATAGTCGAGCAAGCTGAATACATTTCAGTATCAATTTTTTTCACACGAGTCGGTTATACTTCCTTTATATCACGAAGAAATGGTGCGCATTCTACTTCGTCTTTTACTATTCTATGTTCATTCAATTCTTTCTTTTATTATAGATAATTTACATAACGTCTTTATTAATTTTGACGTCAATGTTAAAAGGTTGAAGGGAAAAAAAATGATTATGTTTAATTTATTTGGTCATTTGCTTTGTGAACATGATATATCAATAAGGTTTTCAGGGATGTCTAGCAGTGCTAACAGTAAATATATCTATGTTTTCAAATCATAACATTAAACTGATGTTTCCTACAAACAAAAGTTAAAAATCACTTACGTAATTGAGGTTTATTCTGTTGAATCCGAGACGTTATCTGAACAATTAAGTCTGAGTAGTAGGTTTTAATTTAGATCAAGTCTGTACACAGTATCTAGGTTAGGGCGGACCATCGGAATGTGACCCTTGACTCAAGTTCAACGCTTCACACGTGCACACACATGCTAATATACACATGTATACGTGTGGGAATTGTTGTAGTGATGTTGGAGTTAATTCCCTTTAATATTGCATATTGATATTTATTTGTAAAATTACCAATGCTATTTGGTCTGTTTTATTTCCTAGATAGGCTAAACTCAGATAGATAGCTCAGGAAGACATTGATATCGGTACATCACGATTTCATCAACAGCTTATAGCCAGTTTTTTGGAGGATTTGAAAAAGTATAGATTATAATGCCATTAAAGAAAGGGGTAGAATATTAAACAATTACCACGCAAGAATTAGACAGACAACCACAGAAAAATTAACTAAAAACTTACAGGACAAACCCGGTCATTCACAGATGCCAACTTTGGTTATGTTTAAACAAGAGGCCCAATGGGCCTGCCTGCATCGCTCACCTGGTATTAATCTCACACTTGTAATCTTAAAAGTGGACTAAAATACAAGTACAGGCAGAATATCAGTGTTTGATTCATAAGAACCAATTAAAAGATTTAAACATATGACGCATGTGACCTTGAATGTCGAACAAGAACATTAGGTTGAGAGTTGGTCAAGGTCATTCAATTAAACAAACTTGGTAGCCCTTCATCTCTGCAGGCTACAGGCCCAATATCAGTACCCTGGGCCTTTTGGTTATTGAGAAGAAGTTGTTTTTAGACTTTAAGACATTTGACCCTTATGACCTTGAAAGTAGGTCAAGGTCATTCATTGGAACAAACTTAGTAGCCCTTCATCCCAGCATGTTACAGCCCAATATTAGTACCCTTGGCCTTTTGGTTATTCAGAAGAAGTTGTTTGAAGATTTTTCGACATTTGACCCCTGTGACCTTAAAAGTGGGTCAAGGTCATTCATTTGAACAATCTTGGAAGCCCTTTATCCCAGCATGCTACAGGCCCAGTTTCAGTACCCTTGGACTGTTTGTTATTAAGAAGAAGTTGTTTAAAGTAAAATATTGACACCGAACACCGCACCACGGCATAAGCTCACTTGGCCCTTCGGACCAGGTGAGCTAAAAACAAAATAAAATTGACAAAAGATAAATTTGAAAACGTAAAAACTACAATCGATACAAGAAATTATATGTAAAATGATATATGCATTGCATTTAATATGTGTAGTTATAGCACAGCTAGTGAACAGGTAAGTAGTCTATAGCTTCCGTTTGGAATTTAAATTAGACAAAAGTATACATATTGGCCATTGTAAATAAGTATAGTTGTTGTGTGTTGATGTAACCCTTGTTAAACTATTACCCACTTTTTTATTAACACGCGATTTTCACATGCCTTTCTGACCATATTACATATTAGCTTAAATTTAGTAATTAAATAGCGCATCTATTTGACTGAGAGAAACTCATACAAGTAAGCCTTGTGAGCAGCGGACAAGAACTCGTCTACTTGAAAGCACAAACAGCTGATTGTGGTAATTTATAATACATAAAAGTGATTTAATTATATCAATAACAACTGTATTAGGATATGTTTGCTGGGCCAGTGCAATAGAATGTTGTATTTGATAAATCTGTACTCAGTATTCAGCTTGATCATGATAATAATATTTAATAGATATCGTTTATCGGATATATAAATATAAGAAATTGTTAATTGGATATAATATATATCATTGTTTCATATGAAGGATAGTGATTTATTAAATAAGTCAATTTTATATCATGTTATCATAATGTTTATAACAGATAGTTGAATAGGTCGTACGTATATTGTAGGTTTTTTCCGTCACTACAGCCTGATGAAGGGCCATAAACAGCTGGTCATGTGAAATATGCGAGGACAACCTACCACCTGATGGTCCAAACATTAGTCTGCCAACAGCATGCTTACCTGAGCCTGGGTGGTCGGGTAGAGGATAGTGCCATGTACCATGGTGGTCGGGTAGAGGATAGTGCCATGTACCAAACATGTACACAGTGTAGTAGTAGGAGTCTTTGTGACTAGCAGCTACAGTCATTATCAAAACAAAATACGTCGGAGTGACCGACCTAGGATTGGCTGGTCTGTGTGACCAATTGCAACATCGATCCTGAGATTAGCTGGTCTGTGTGACCAATGGTGACTCCCCATGTGATCTGTTACTTTATGGGAATGTTGGTTGAGAGGTGAACACACTACGGATGGACAGTATCATCAATGTCATCAACGATAAAGTGGAAGAGGATGGAAAAGTGCTACAAGAACTGTAGGATATTGTGTATTTAGCCAAAATCTGTCACATGTACAAATATCGTAATTCATTATTGTATAATAGAGAGAGAGAACCATTTTGTTTGTGTGTGTATGGCTGATATATATCCTTAATATCATGTATTGTAAATAAATTGTATCTCTGTATTTACGGTTCTTGCCTAATGTATAAGGGAATCAACATTCAAGTAATGCCGTTACAGTAATAACTATCATACAAGATACAAGAAACTTTATTTAACGTCGCATACAGATAAACAAGGAACATAAGCTCTTGAGAGCTATTATTGCGACAAACATGTTAACAATAACATAATATATTACAAGTAAAGGGAGATAATCACATATATTAATAGAAAAACAGTAATAATCATCACAGAAAAAGTATAGATATCCCAGGTTTCTAGTGATTGGGAGTCCCTTACCTACAAAGGCCCCCGGGATATATATATATAAAAATAGTGTTAATATATGAAAAGCATTAAATGTGATCACAGATAAGTAGTATTCAGAATAGGTAAATAAAAGACATAGTTAATAGTGAATGAATACTTGTATATCACACAAAAATTACTTAGGACTTAGGATTAAAACACTATGAAGTGGAATATACATACAATGCTAATATAGCAAAGAATAAAAATTTACAGAATATACACTATTATAGTGTGAAATAAAAATGATATCGAAATCAATTAACAAAATTTATCAAGGTTTGTAAAAAATTATATTTTAGAATATATGGAATTAAAATACAAATAAGATGCAGCAAAAATATAGAATAGAATTAAAACATATAAGAAATGAAATAAGACAATAAAAGTATCACACAATCCAAAATGTCAGGTGGCAGAGGTAACCAGGGTACAGTATGAAGTATCACTCTTTGCAGATATTGCAAAGGCAGATGGGTCATCCCAGGAATGGACCAGCCTCCTGAATTTTTTGAAGTTTTCAACTTTTCTGAAGTCATTTGGGAGACTGTTCCACACCCGGGCGGCCTCAAAAGCAAACGATTTATGTCCATACTTCACAGTGTTGACCCTGGGCACCTCTGCAGTATTTTCTTTCCTGAATTCATAATTAGACATCTTAATATTTACAAGATTATGAATATATTCAGGAGAAATTTTGTTTATAATTTTAAAAACCTCACAACCCATTTCCTTCAGGCGCCTTACATGAAGCCTGTCGCTGTTGGTAATACTGAGTAAGTGTCTGAAGGATGAGTTGTGATCATTATGTATAAACCTTAAAGCTCTTTCTTGTATCTTTTCTAGCTTCCCTGACACTCTTCATGGAACAAGAGTGCCAGACTAAAGGACAGTAGATAAAATTTGAAACAATAAAAGAATTATAAATTACAAGTCTACCTTGTTTGGTTAAAAAAACTCCCAATTCGCTTTAAAATGGACAATTGCCTTGAGGCTTTCCTACAAATTTCAGAGATATGAGCTTCAAAGTTTAAAAATGAATCAAAGTTCACACCTAAAAGTTTGATAACACTGTCAGGAACAATACCTATTTCGCCAATACTAAAAGACTGTATAGCATCTACCGATCGTTTACCTATACAAATGGCCTGGAATTTATAAGGCTTTCCATTCATCTGGTTTAATTTAAACCAGTCTATTAAATTTTGACAGTCATTTTCAATATTATGTTTAAAAGCATCTGGATCTTTATTCGATTCACTGACAGTATTGTCGTCTGCATAATTATATAATTTACAGGATGTCACATATAAAAACATATCATTTACAAATACATTAAAAAGCAAGGGTCCTAAAATAGAACCCATGGGTACCCCCTTCAGCACTTCCAGCCAGTCACCGCATTTGGAGCCAATTTTTACCTGCTACTTCCTGTTGCTCAGGTAGATGGACGCCAGGTTAACTGATCATGAGGCTTTGCTCAGGCCATAGGTCTCCAGCTTCCCGACCAACAAGTTATGAGGAAGACAGTCAAAGCCTTGGATAGGTCCATCAGTATGACAGCGACATACTCATGGTTGTCCAGGGCTCTACGCCAATCCTCAACAAGTCGCAACAGGGTGGATTGACACCCAAATCCTGGTCGGAAGGCTGCAAGGAAAAGATGAAAAACATTACTAAAAAAGGCAGTCAGTTGATCACACATGGTTCTTTCAAAAACATTCGAGATACAAGGTAAAATGCTGACTGGTCGGTAGTTTTGTTTATCTTTATATCGTTTTCTTAAAAACAGGAACTACCTGTGCCTCCTCGAGTCTGCAAGGGAACTCTGATCTATCAAAACAGTGGTGATGTCAGTACAACAGGCTCTAAGGAGTTTTGAAGATATCGATACCAGTGGCCTTCTTCGCCTTCACCTTAGGGATAGCCTTTTCAACCACGAAAGGAGAGACATGATTTAAACAAAACTTTGACTGATCATTATTGTGTGCCCTTATCTCTTTTAAAATAGTTTCATCAGAAGAATCTTCTGTACCAATATCAGAAGCAACATTTACATAAAAATTATTAAAAACATTGATGACCTCTGTTTGATCACTGATAATGGCTTCATTTTCCTTTAAAATTACATTATTGCATTGTGCAGAGCCCTTATTTGATAAAAATGGTTTAATGGAGGGCCAGAAATCTTTTGATTTGGGACCACCTGCACAGCTTTCGAAAAAATAGTTGCGCATAGAATGTTTATGTAATTTACACACATAATTTCTATGGTTACGATATGCCTCCCAATTAGAGTCTGATTTGCAACCAGTATATTTGTTAAAAAGCATACGTTTCTTATACACAGCTTTACGCAAGTTTGAATTAAAAAATTGACACCTTTTCTGTTTAATACTTTTTCTTTTACAGGAGCATGTTCATCAATAATGTCAGTGATATCTTATTCATGGGCCCAATTAATATCATCAAGAGCATAATTTGCCTGGAAAGGGATTTTACTTATATCATCACTGAAAGTTTTTTCATCAAAATGTTTTAGACATCTATATTTCCTCTTTTCTTTCATAACTGGTTTACATTTCCCTTTAAAAATAGTCCCAATCATATGATGCCAGTCACTAAGACCACAGTTAAAAGCAAACGTATTAAATAAAAAAGATGCACTGTTGCTTAAAATGACATCAACAGATGAGGTCTGCGAGTTTTTCATAAAACATGTTCGAGATTTACCGTAATTGTGTTTTTCATATCAAAGATATCACAAATATTGGATAATATATTGTCATTTACGTTCATGTCAACATTTAAATCTCCAACAAGCAAAGTATTATCATAATGTATGCTGACTCGATCTAGAGTCTGACATAAGTCGTCGTAGACGGTTCCGGGTTGTTTCGCCCCAAATCCTGTTCGCCGTAGGTTGTTTCGCCCTTAAACATTTTTTTAGGGCGAAACATTGTTTGGTATTTTCTTTTCATTTTTTTTGTTTTAATTCACAAATTAAGTCTTCTTAGTCTTTGATATCATTAAAATCAGTTTTATTAAAAAAAAATGTGTATGTGTTGTTTTCATGTACATTGTAAAGCAAATAACGGATTACATTATTTTCTTCACACCGACACACATTATAACATATAGTGAAATGAAACAAAAATGGTGTAGTTTTAATTACATTGCCGGGTATACAACAATATTATTTTTCCATGTTATCACATTTTGTCTAGTGTACACATAATCGTCGCGGTGTGACGATGTTTTCTTAACTTGATTCCTGCGCACGTTCATGTTGATTTTTGCTTATTGGAGATCATTTTGAGAAGTTTTGACCAATACAAATTAATATGCATATTTGAGTAGATAATTTTGAGTAGGTAACTTGTCATAAATAGGGCATTTCTCAATACTGTGTTATAATTCAACATTACGTAATGGATGATTTATGCATTTTGTGCGACTCCGTGGGACGTAGACAGCATGGTATTTCATGTGATATGTGTGACTGTTGGCAGCATAGAACCATCCAGACTGGTAAGTACATTATTATGCAAGTATATTAAATGTATTTTGGTAATTCCCTAAGTATATTGCCAACTTTTATTTCATAATTAAAATATACACATCTGCTTAACAATTAAAATATGTATCTTATCTACTTGGGGAATTATTTACATTTCGTATACGTCTCTAGAGAAACTATTAATTTATTATATTTTCATTATATGTCCATATCTTATCTAATTATTATACGTATCTATGTACTTAGAGAAATTAATTTAGTTTCATTATATGTCCATATCTATACGTATCTATGTACTTAAAGAAATTAATTTATTTTCATTATATGTCCATATCTTATCTATACATTATAAGTATTGTACATTTCGTATACGTTTCTATGTCCTTAGAGAAATTAATTTATTTTCATTTTATGTCCATATCTATACGTATCTATGTACTTAGAGAAATTAATTTAGTTTCATTATATGTCCATATCTATACGTATCTGTGGTTTTTTTAGGGCGAACGGGATTTGGGGCGAAACAACCCGCTCCTACAATGGCCCACTTACGATTATTAATAGTGACCTCAACTACTACGCTCTCGACTAAAGTTGACTCAAGATCTGGTCTTCTTCTGCAGGGGAGGTGGGAATTAACAAAACACATGAGACCACCACCATGTCCAGTTCCAACCTTCCTAAAAACCCTGAAACCTGTGGTTTCAAAATGGGCCTGATTGAACGAGTCGTTTAGTTTCGTCTCGCCTACGATCAGGATGTCAGCGAGGGAATTATGTAACACATCACTGAGTGCACTGAATTTGTAACGCAAACTATTAATGTTAATGTATGCTAGAATCACATTGCACGGATATTTACTTTGAATGTTGTTCATTTCCACATCTTCCGCGCTCGTGTTTACATCCGTATAAGACAAACTCGCCTCCCTGTCATCTCCCGGAGAGCAATGCAAGGGACGTTACTCTCAGATTCCCGTGACGGATCAGGGATGTGTATTGTACTAAAATCACTCGCAGCGCTTTCATTAAAAAACGAGTCAGTGCATTGGGGTAGAACACATGTGTTACAATACCAGCTAATATTCCAAGTATCCTTATAATTAGCTAATGTCATGTCAATACATTTCCTGTGAAACCATATGTAACAGTCAATACATCGTAAAGCATGTTGATTGGATTTTACGAACCACATGGAAATCTGATGGGGCCAGGGTTGGTCGACTACATCACTGAAACCAGAAAGCAATATTGTGAAAAATAGTAGGTTTTTTTTTCATTCTAATTTGGGCATTCAGAGAGAACAAAGAATGCATTGGCCCTGTGGTGAAGAGCGGATTTAGGTCCATCAGAGTCAGTACGGATCGTATTAGGCGCCGTGAAGAAGTAATGTAGGTCACTCAAAGAGAGTGAGAAACCCAACTAGAACCCTTGAGGAACAGATGTCAGCCTAAAACTATGACATTCGGAATAAGATTCATCAGTTCGTTATGATTAATAAAGTAATACAGCCGGGCTAAGTCTGTTTTCAACACAAACGGAATTAAAAACATATTTTGCGAGCTTTCGAAAATATCTGTTTCCTTTGTCAAGCAAAGATTATAATTTACCGGTTGTTTCGCTCTAAACCGCGGAAAACAACTCACTAAACCTTAATAGGCCGAATGAGTAAAGTCAGCTGTCATAAGAATGACACATTTCGCCGAATAGCACTCTAATACTGCAGGCAGTCACGTACGGGGACGGGTAACATATAATGATATTAACCCGGAAAACATCGATGATCGGAGAAACAACACAATAAATCAGCCATTAAAAACCATGCTAACACACACAATCACATCAAAGTCTAGAGCAACTCGAAGGTGCTTGAGAATGTCATTGCAGTTGTATCACCCAGTGCCATTTGTGTGTGCTTACGCGGGTCCCTGGCAAGAGAAGACATGCCTTACATAGAAGGATTTGTTGAACAAGTAATTTTTAAACGGTCAGGTAGTGGATTTCAGCGTCGTTTTCGGATCAGCATGATTGTGTTTAACCATGTATTGGATGAATTGCGAGTACCCCTCACTATAGTTACCAGGGTGGGTGGTTGCCAGTGCCCCCCGATCAACAATTGTACATATTGAAGTTTCATCTGACTAATCTGGATCGTCAACGGGAAGTATCTTGATACTTTGTGTGAGTGAATGGCTCGTCCTCAACTGTATCCGAAACGTGTCGGAATTACTTAGCAGAGCACGGGCCCATTATATTACTACCGAAGACAGACAGCAGGCAATAGCAGAAAGACTTGATCATGATGAAGCAAACGATTGTCCAGGTATAGTTGGGGCACTGAGCGGGACACGTACGTATACCGATTGTAAATCGCCCTGATGGCTAAAGTGATAAGTTCAATAGAAAAGGGTTTGCTTCTGTTCAACTACAGCGTGTAGTGGACTACCAGTTGTTAATAAGTAATGTCTATGTGAGGTGGCCAGCGGACTACCAGTTGTTAATAGGTAATGACTATGTGAGGTGGCCAGTGGACTACCAGTTGTTAATAAGTAATGTTTATGTGAGGTGGCCAGTGGACTACCAGTTTTTAATAAGTAATGTCTATGTGAGGTGGCCAGTAGACTACCAGTTGTTAATCAGTTGTTAATAAGTAATGTCTATGTGAGGTGGCCAGTGGAATACCAGTTGTCTATGTGAGGTGGCCATTGGACTACCAGTTGTCTATGTGAGGTGGCCATTGGACTACCAGTTGTCTATGTGAGGGGGCCAGTGGACTACCAGGTGTTAATAAGTAATGTCTATGTGAGGGGGCCAGTGGACTACCATTTGTTAATAGGTAATGTCTATGTGAGGGGGCCAGTGGACTACCATTTGTTAATAGGTAATGTCTATGTGAGGGGGCCAGTGGACTACCAGTTGTTAATAGGTAAAGTCTATGTGAGGTGGCCAGTGGACTACCGGTTGTTAATAAGTAATGTCTATGTGAGGGGGCCAGTGGACTACCATTTGTTAATAGGTAATGTCTATGTGAGGTTGCCAGTGGACTACCAGTTGTTAATAACTAATGTCTATGTGAGGTGGCCAGTGGCCTACCAGTTGTTAATAAGTAATGTTTATGTATATGTGAGGTGGCCAGTGGACTACCGGTTGTTAATAAGTAATGTCTATGTGAGGGGGCCAGTGGACTACCAGTTGTTAATACCAGTGGACTACCAGTTGTTAATAAGAAATGTCTATGTGAGGTGGCCAGTGGCCTACCAGTTGTTAATAAGTAATGTTTGAGTGAGGTGGCCAGTGGACTTCCAGTTTTTAATAAGTAATGTCTTTTTGAGGTGGCCAGTAGACTACCAGTTGTTAATAAGTAATGTGTATGTGAGGTGGCCAGTGGACTACCGGTTGTTAATAAGTAATGTCTATGTGAGGTGGAAAGTAGACGTCCAGTTGTTAATCAGTTGTTAATAAGTAATGTCTATGTATATGTGAGGTGGCCAGTGGACTACCAGGTGTCTATGTGAGGTGGCCAGTGGACTTCCAGTTTTTAATAAGTAATGTCTATGTGAGGTGGCTAGTGGACTACCAGTTGTTAATAAGTAATATCTATGTGAGGTGGCCAGTGGACTACCATTTGTTAATAGGTAATGTCTATGTGAGGTTATGTGAGGTGGCCAGTGGACTACCGGTTGTTAATAAGTAATGTCTATGTGAGGTGGGCAGTGGACTACCAGTTGTTAATAAGAAATGTCTATGTGAGGTGGCCAGTGGACAACCAGTTGTTAATAAGTAATGTCTATGTCTATGTGAGGTGGCCAGTGGAATACCAGTTGTCTATGTGAGGTGGCCATTGGACTACCAGTTGTCTATGTGAGGTGGCTGGCCAGTGGACTACCAGTTGTTAAGAAGTAATGTCTATGTGAGGTGGCCAATAGACTACCAGTTGTTAATCAGTTGTTAATAAGTAATGTCTATGCGAGGTGGCCAGTGGACTACCAGTTGCTAATAGGTAATGTCTATGTGAGGTGTCCAGTAGACTACCAGTTGATAATCAGTTGTTAATAAGTAATGTCTATGCGAGGTGGCCAGTGGACTACCAGTTGCTAATAGGTAATGTCTATAGGTGGCCAGTGGACTACCAGTTGTACTACCAGTTGTTAATAGGTAATGTCTATGTGAGGTTGCCAGTGGACTACCAGTTTTTAATAAGTAATGTCTAAGTGAGGTGGCCAGTAGACTACCAGTTGTTAATCAGTTGTTAATAAGTAATGTCTATGCGAGGTGGCCAGTGGACTACCAGTTGCTAATAGGTAATGTCTATGTGAGGTGTCCAGTGGACTACCAGTTTTTAATAAGTAGTGTCTATGTGAGGTGGCCAGTAGACTACCAGATGTTAATCAGTTGTTAATAAGTAATGTCTATGCGAGGTGGCCAGTGGACTACCAGTTGTTATTAAGTAATGTCTATGTGAGGTGGCCAGTTGACTACCAGTTGTTAATAAGTAAGGTCTATGTGAGGTGGCCAGTGGACTCCCAGTTTTTAATAAGTAATGTCTATGTGAGGCGGCCAGTAGACTACCAGTTGTTAATCAGTTGTTAATAAGTAAGGTCTATGTGAGGTGGCCAGTGGACTCCCAGTTGTCTATGTGAGGTGGCCAGTGGAATACCAGTTGTCTATGTGAGGTGGCCGGTGGACTACCAGTTGTCTATGTGAGATGGCCAGGGGACTACCAGTTGTCTATGAGAGGTGGCCAGTGGACTACCAGTTGTCTCAGTTGTTAATAGGTAATGTCTATGTCAGGTGGCCAGTGGACTACCAGTTGTCTCAGTTGTTAATAGGTAATGTCTATGTCAGGTGGCCAGTGGACTACCAGTTGTCTATGTGAGGTGGCCAGTGGACTACCAGTAGTCCATGTGAGGTGGCCAGTGGACTACCAGTTGTCTATGTGAGGTGGCCATTGGACTACCAGTTGTCTATGTGAGGTGGCCAGTGGAATACCAGTTGTCTATGTGAGGTGGCCAGTGGACTACCAGTTGTTAATAAGTAATGTCTATGTCTATGTGAGGTGGCCAGTGGACTACCAGTTATTAATAAGTAATGTCTATGTGAGGTGGCCAGTGGACTACCAGTTGCTAATAAGTAATGTCTATGTCTATGTGAGGTGTCCAGTGGACTACCAGTTGTCTATGTGAGGGGGCCAGTGGACTACCAGTTATTAATGAGTAATGTCTAGTTGAGGTGGCCAGTGGACTACCAGTTGCTAATAAGTAATGTCTATGTCTATGTGAGGTGTCCAGTGGACTACCAGTTGTCTATGTGAGGTGGCCAGTGGACTACCAGTTGTCTATATGAGGTGGCCAGTGGACTACCAGTAGTCTATGTGAGGTGGCCAGTGGACTATCAGTTGTCTAGGTGAGGTGGCCAGTGGACTACCAGTTGTCTATGTGAGGTGGCCAGGGGACTACCAGTTGTCTATGTGAGGTGGCCAGTGGACTACCAGTTGTCAATGTGAGGTGGCCCGGTAGCACCCACGACCCTTGTGTTTTGCAGAATTCGTATTTGTTTCGAAAAGCTGAAAATAGCGGAAAGGTAAAACCTTGGTTTTGACCTATTTAAGGGACACTGGACATTTAAACCCTTCACAAAAGCTTTACAACAGGACGTTTTCGTGTGGAACGTGCACATATGAAAGAGCAATTCAGGAGACTCCAGAATTGCATGCATGTGTTACAAATGTAGCAGCTGACTTTTATTAAGGTCTAAACCAAAGCACTCCGATCATAGTATTAAAAACATTTTTTTCCAATAATGAACAATTTTAAATGCAAAATAAATTATGATGACAAAATAAACATTTTACATTCCATTAAAATACATACTATAGTAAATTAATCATATGGTATTGTATATTTAATAAAAGTAGTACCTGTAGCGGCGTAGGGATATGTTACCACGGATCTGTCCAACACATTTAGGTTTTATCTCCGTTTTTCATAAACTTTTCAGGACATCGACTTCTACGGATCTAGCAGGGGGTAATGATAACTCAAGGTTAGTGCAAATCGCGATGATTAGATAACCCACCAGCAGAGACCACCTCAGTGTAGATTGACAGATGAACGTAACACATATGAATACAATAGCCACAGAAAGCCAAAACGGAATTAAACTTATAGGACTCATCAATGATGGCAGGGGTCAAACAGTTGGAAATCAAAATACTCGAAACTATGTTGAAATAGAGGGACAGTTAGGATAAGGGAGGCAAGCGGGAAGATGATTGTAGAAATGTTTGTTAGACTACTTACAGGATGATAATGTATTTTGATAAGGCTGTTATATCATTTTACCAGGAAACGTATTCAATATGATCTGGTTCAGAATAAAAGAGCTTATTTTACCAAGAAAAGCATTCAATATGATCTTCTTTGAGAAACGTGGGCTCAGTTTATACATTCTTGTTCACGATGTGAAAAAGCGTCATCTTTGAGAGTAGGAGGAGAGTCGAGTGGGCCAGTAGGAGTCAGAGTGGTCATTGGTTCTAATTAACGAGTTGTGTCAGCCGCAGCTGTACGTTTCAGTGAGTGTCTGCGGAGAGTAGTTGTTTATTTGCAATTTAAATGTAGAGACATATTACTTGGTTCTGGAGATCTTATTAAGATGTCAATTAAAGCTCGGACTGTTAGGGAGAAATGTTGATTGAGAATGACAAGTGGCATGGGAACAAAGGGTGGTCTGCGTTACAGTGGAGATAGGACAGGTTGTGTGTGTGGGGATAGAGTTCAGTTTAGTTTTGTGAGGTGCACGAGAGAGGATGTAACTATTGAGAGTTGTGGTACGAACGTTGGGGTGACAGCATGTGAGCAGTGAAAGTGTTGCGGTGTACGATATATGTAAGGTGACAGTACCAAAATCGGATCACCAAACCATCATTTTATTCACTTATTGAAAAATCTGAGGAGGAATTATGTTCATTTATTGTTGTATCAAAAGACGAATATCGAAATAAGAACCCGGGGCTCACTTGAGATATTTATAGAACGATCTGAAGTCACCAATCAGCGTTTCCAGTTTTTGCGAATGTCAGGACCCAAATCAGATCAAGGTTTGGATTTTGCAGTATCTTACACTTCAAATATATTTTTGTCAGTATATTAACATTTTATGATGATCTTTGGAATTTATATGAAAACAAGTATTTCTATATGGTAAATTTATTCCTATAGTTCAAACAGAATGCATAGTCGTCGCCCGCGTATTTAAAAAAAATGTATCAAAACACTGACATTTGAGTTTGAACTAATTATCTGTAGACAAACAATGGTGCATGCCTATCTATTCAAAGTCCGTATCATTGTTATAACTGATTTGTTGACACATTTATTGATTAATAAGTATTTTTGCAAAACAATGATCCGATTTGGGTACTGATCCGATTTGGGTACTGCCTCCTTATAATATGTAAACTATTTCATTATTATGACTTCAAAGCTAAACCAGTGGCTCCGTCACAACGACGCACGAGGATTTTATTTTAAATAGAAAGTGTACAGTGTATATATATAGCATCTGGTTATTACTTACGATCCTTTAGTTTGACTAAATATTAGTTGTACTTATACTTGCACGTGGCTAATGTATCATGTATTGTGTTTATAGTTAGAATGAAGGAAATGCATCACAATTAATGTTTTGTACTATTGATAATTCTAGCAAATAAACATTTGCCTATTAAATAGCTAATTTGATTTGCGAAAGATTACAAATAAATAGCACTTAGGTAGTGACCCGTAGAACGAACCAACAGTCCGTTAGAAGTACGGAAATAAGCAAAATATTTAGGGGGGGTGACATGAACATAGCTAAGCAATGAATGCCGAAAGAAGAAATATGTAAATACAAATAAAATAACCACTAAAGGGATTGTATATATAACAGTACACCAGTAGACTTGAAATCATCAAAAACATCAAATGATGGGGATAAAGCCTCATTTTATAGTTGACGATCTGCAATCCGGGCAGTCCGGGTAAAAACTGCAATCAAATGAGTTTATCCACGCTTTACCATACCCCTATCAACATGGCCGCCTCCAGTGATCACACGTTGTGAAGGAGATTTACATAATCCGTCACTGCGAGAGGTTTATATATATGTATGTAGCTTTCAGTTCACAGACAAGAAAGATCGATATGCTTATTATAAGAAACAGAACGTGTCAGTTGTTTGCATGACTTTGTGATTCGCAGCGAAACACATACGTTTAGGGATACCTGATCTACGACCCGGATTCTTTTTGACCTCATCTGCTATGTACTAGGCCTAGTGCACGTGGTCAGGTAGGCCCGTAAGTGGACTTTTATTTTCATCCCAAAACGTACCGGGGTTATATTTTCCCCGAGAGTCCTATGGATCTAAGTTTCGCCCTAAATTCCGTTCACATCACGGGTCGTTTCGCCTTAAATCCAGTTAGGCCTATAACGTTTTAATATAAGATATCAGTTTAACCACAGGAGCCTGAAGTTCTGTCAAAAATTTATAATAACATTAATACAAAAAAAAATACCTATAATATGCTTAAAAAATTAACCATATTATAGGTATTTTTTTGGTATTACTGTTATTATGATTTTTTGACAGAACTTCAGCAGGTCCAGTACACTTTGCCGATTGAGCTATACAGCTGTAAAGACCTATAATAGCGCTAGCTCTATTGACCTATCTGAAATAGGTCTTTTGAGCCATTTTCAAGTGATTTTCTTTTTTAAAGAAAATGAAACAAAGTCGCTTTTAAAAGAATATTGTATCATTAGGTTGATAACAAAAGACATTAAGTATAAGTATCTTTTTAAAAAATAATGATGTAAAAAAAAACCGGAAATTTTACTTTTATGAAAAATGATAATAAACATCTAACTGTATGTTCTTTGTAGTCAACATTACCATGAACCTTATTGTTTTATGCGACTTTGCTTTAATTTAATGAAATTTGAAATCTGAGAAAATATAGCTCAATACAGCTATAATTTATAGGTGTATATGGCTATATAGGTCTTTATAGCTATATAGCTCAATCGGCAGAGTGTACTGGACCTGTTCAGGTTCCTGTGGTTTAACAGGTTGGGTACATAACGTTATTATTTTGGATAATGATCCTGAATTTGGGTAACAGTAATTTATAATTGAAATGGTGAATAACTTGAAATGTAATTAAATAAGGTTCTTTTAAAATTGACAATCAAAGAGAAAGTTAGTCTTTCAACAAAATCCAATATAAATACTACAGTGCAGTACATACAGTTGGGAGCAAACTTAACTTGGTATCTTAATTGCTTGTACAGTCACACTAATTATCTATGGCTACCTAGCTACTATCTTCAAATAAATCTCTGACACTGACCATGCTAATAAAATGCATAGCAAATTATAAGTACACTTTGAACAACGAAACGGCTAATAAATGCATTACAGTGACTGTGAAAAACCAATAAAATGTATTGGGGTCGACATGAAAAAATAGGGCCAGTCATGATCAAGAAACGGAAAGCATAGCTATATTTTTATTTGGCCTAAGATGACTAGACACCAACAAAAACTTTAGATGAGACTGTAGTAGCCAAACACCACGTACTAAACATGCAAAAACAATGTTATGCCGTTAAGATACGTCTATGGCAAAATGACCTAGCACAAAAACGACCCGGGGCGAACAGGTTTTGATACGATAAAACGACCTGACCCTAGTCAAAAATGGGGTATTAAAGAGTACCCAGTGTTTGAGCACTTAATGCTGAAATTGCTGAATAAAGTAATTATAGCAAAATCAATCAGCAATTGTATCAATGACTGCACTAGGATTCACATTGGGGACCTCTGCTTCTTTTTGAATGACGTTTTTTTGCTGTTGTGTCTAATCCATCTTCTTACTTTTTATAATTGTTTTATACTTATAGGTTGTGCTTGTACAACATACATTTATGTCCTTCTTTATATACAGCTGTGTTTTCATTACAAGGTTTTCAGCATGGCAACCAAGATTTTAGAATGGATGAAATCCAATAGACTGATTTTGACAGTGTTGGGAAATGCTGGCACCCTGTATGGACTGACAGTCATCCCAAGTACATTTGGTCTAATCATGTACAAGCGGTACTATCAGTCCAGAATAAAGGAATCAGCACATGCAGCATCCACTGTATGCAACCCAGACTCCACACTGAGGAAACTTATTAGTCAGGTAAGAGTTGTCTGCCCATTGACAGACTGCTTGGTTAATGTTTAATTTCGGAGTTAGTCCAAGTTATTTGCTTATATCCATGAAATAGACTCATACACACTCCCATATTTTGTGATCAGGCCAAATCTCTTGTTCCTGAGATGAATATTATTTTTTTTTCACATTCTTTCGATGATATACAACATACAGGCCTTTTTATGGCCAATTATGGGCCAGTTCCCCTTAACAATTTCAGCATTATTTCCCCCTATTTCAGCATTATTTTCCCCGTTTCATTTAAAAATTCCCTAACTTGTAACTGAAATACAAATGTACTACCACATGAACACAGCCTGATTCAAGTTCCAACATTTGAAGGGAAATGGTTTCATGAATGCAGGGCCGAACAGTTCCCCAAATGGAAAACTTCATAGAAATTGTAAAAGAAATACAAGTAGCAATTAATACAACAAGTGCTGAACTACTGCAAAGCAAAAAAGTTTCACTTCTGATATTTTTTACGCAGTTTTTGAAAATAAGGGGTGTAAATTGCATGGTTTCTAAGCAGTGCTTAGGTAAGTGTACGTTGTCAAAAATAAAAACTGGACAAATTTGTATTACAAGGGTTGAAATTACTAGTGCAAAAGAATTAACAGTTAAGATGATTTATTCTACATACAAGTATAATTCCTGATATCACACAAGATATGAAGTTTTGGAATAATTTGCACAAAACTTGTAACAGAGGTCATTATTATATTTTCAACGCCTCTATTAGGAGTTGAACCCAGGACCTCTGTAGGGATCAAATTAAATATTAATACAAAATATTGTTTTACAGAAAAAGCATTACACTTCATCTGAAGTTGCAAATAGAAAAGAACTCATTTAATACTTGGATAGTCATGTATATTATCGTAATTTTTTGTATATTGCCTGCACACCTGAAAATATCATGGTTAGATCTATGTCAGCTATCACAAAGTTTCTACAGGGAACATAACAAAATATATAGCAATTTATATCTTGTGTACAAGTTTGTAGCTAAAAATGCAGCTTTAAACCAAGTTACTCCAGAAAGGATAATACAACTCAGATAGGAAGGATATGAAGTTATGAACATTTATTATAGGGATCAGATAAACAAGAGCTTAAAACATGAAATGTATCCTCTATGAAGTATGGTATATAAGAACCAACATGATTCTTAAAATGAATATTAAAAACATAGATCAAGAATACCAACTAACTATTGTACATTCAACATGTGTAACAAAATAATCATGACATAATAACACAAATGTTACAAAATAATTTTGGCCCTTGGGAATTATTTCTCAGCTGCTTCTGTATGGACTTGTAGAGTAGAGTAGGTCTGTCCATGTTAGTAAAAAGACTTATAGAATTATGAAACAGACCTTCCACGATCGACCGACTAGAACAGGGATGTTCTACGAAATAAGGGGATGGCACCACTGCCTAGAACAGGGATGTTCTATATCTAACAAGGTTGAGTGGTGCCATCTATAACCAGTGTGGTTACCATAGAGGTCGATTGATAGTAGAGTATAATGTACTGATACACTAATTTAAAACTTGAATTCTATTACATGTTTTAGAATGAATATTATGACCTTGGCAAACCCAAGGATTTTTCCCCTTTTAATAAAAGGGGTTAAAAAATTTGAAGTGTGAGTCCAAAAGAAAATTTTGGTGCGAAAAGTTCAGAGAGTGAAGCAGCTGAATTTGATCCCCAAGGTACATAATAAAAGATGGATATATATACAATTAGTAGATGTGTAATTGTATATATAGGTTGTTTGGTTAAGAGGTGGCGATAGCGACCACAGGAGTATAATATACGTCGGTATATAACACAAAAGTCAGTAGATGTTGAGAATGTATCGAGTGACACATATAGTATATATACTAGATAGCTAGTTCAATACTTCATACAGCAGTGTACCTGGACAGCAGTAGCCTGAACACCAGTGTATTAGTTACAATATTTAAGCGTACATTGTAGTATAGATATACATATAACTATATACATTCATGATACTCTTAAACAGGCTCTCGCCTATCACGTACATATACAGTATATAACATATTCTCGATTCAGCGCACACATGTCATATTGCATGTACTTAGAGTCTATATAGAGCGTACGTTTATATATACTATTAAGAGAATGTCTTGAAGGAGGCCTGTGGCAAATACCAGATTAACTTATCTAGCAAGATTGCAAGCAGTCACTAGGATGCTGGATCGTGGATCAGTAGCTGTCTCTGTGCTTTCGCGATACTTAAACTTTGAGTTCTGATATATCGACAGTAACAGTCGGAGCTCCACCTCCCTAATGTCTTTATAAGGTGGTCTTCCACACCTGCTGCACCTGCACTAGTGGCAGCACCTATCCGGAAAGAATGTCCATTGTACTTGAGTGGGTCGTATCCACAAATGGCTAACACTTGTCTACAATACTGAATAAACTGTGCTCTGTCCAAAGCAATATTACTGTCTGTGATGAACAGTGGTTGTGATGGTAGAACAGATCTGGATTTCCCCTGTCGTAGTGCAAGATATTCCTTCAAGATCTTCACCGGGCACAAGTCTTGCGGCATTCTGTGGAGTTGAATTGTAATGCCTTTGCGGAAAGGGTCTGTTTTTGATTCTTTCAGGGTTAACGTACACATGTTGTCGTAAGTTGTGATATCCCCTACGCACAGGTGTCTGGATGGGTCAAACGCAGCACTAGTTTTTACAGTAAATTCTCCACAACGCAGGAAGCCAAAGTAGGCTATAGTACACGCACATTCTAACATGACATCAGTGAATGGAGAGAACACACCGCGCCTCAAAAAGGCACACATCTTGTGGAGAATATTTCCTGTAATAGGTAGGCGAGTAGTAGTGTTTGATCCTTGATTTCGTTTGATGGACTTGAGGATNCCCCTTTTAATAAAAGGGGTTAAAAAATTTGAAGTGTGAGTCCAAAAGAAAATTTTGGTTCGAAAAGTTCAGAGAGTGAAGCAGCTGAATTTGATCCCAGCTTTCTGGCTTAGCACGTCACTACAGGGAACATAACAATATATAAAGCAACAGTCACTCTACGTCATTACAGGGAGCATAACAAAATATATAGCACAAGTCCCTCTACGTCACTACAGGGAACATAACAATAAATATAGCAACAGTCACTCTACGTTATATAGCAACAGTCACTCTACGTCACCACAGGGAACATAACAAAATATATAGAAACAGTCACTCTACGTCACTACAGGGAATATAACAAAATATATAGCAACAGTCACGCTACGTCACTACAGGGAACATAACAAAAAATATAGCAACAGTCACTCTACGTCACTTCAGGGAACATAACAAAATATATAGCAACAGTTGCTCTACGTCCCAGCTTCCTGGCTTAGCACGTCACTACAGGGAACATAACAAAATATATATATATAGCAACAGTCACTCTACGTCGCAACAGGGAACATAACAAAATATATAGCAACTGTCACCCTACGTCACTACAGGGAACATAACAATAAATATAGCAACAGTCACTCTACGTCACCACAGGGAACATAACAAAATATATAGAAACAGTCACTCTACGTCACTACAGGGACCATAACAAAATATATAGCAAAAGTCGCTCTACGTCACTACAGGGAACATAACAATATATAAAGCAACAGTCACTCTACGTCATTACAGGGAGCATAACAAAATATATAGCGAAAGTCACTCTACGTCACTACAGGGAACAAAACAAAATATAGCAACAGTCATTCTACATCACTACAGGGAACATAACAAAATATAACAACAGTCATTCTACGTCACTACAGTGAACATAACAAAATATATAGCAACAGTCTCTCTACGTCACTACAGGGAGCATAACAAAATATATAGTAAAAGTCACTCTACGTCACTACAGGGAGCACAACAAAATATATAGCAAAAGTCACTCCACGTCACTACAGGGAACATAACAAAAAATATAGCAACAGTCACTCTACGTTATATAGCAACAGTCACTCTACGTCTCTACAGGGATCATAACAAAATATATAGCAAAAGTCGCTCTACGTCACTACAGGGAACATAACAATAAATATAGCAACAGTCACTCTACGTCACTCCAGGGAGCCTAACAAAATATATAGCAAAAGTCACTCCACGTCACTACAGGGAACATAACAATATATAAAGCAACAGTCACTCTACGTCATTACAGGGAGCATAACAAAATATATAGTAAAAGTCACTCTACGTCACTACAGGGAACAAAACAAAATATAGCAACAGTCATTCTACGGCACTACAGGGAACATAACAAGAAATATAGCAACAGTCACTCTACGTCACTCCAGGGAACACAACAAAATATATAGCAACAGTCACTCTCCGTCACTACAGGGAACATAACAAAATTTATAGCAACAGTCACTCTACGTCACCACAGGGAACATAACAAAATATATAGAAACAGTCACTCTACGTCACTACAGGGATCATAACAAAATATATAGCAAAAGTCGCTCTACGTCACTACAGGGAACATAATAAAATATATAGCAACAGTCACTCTATGTCACTACAGGGAACATAACAAAATTTATAGCAACAGTCACTCTACGTCACCACAGGGAACATAACAAAATATATAGCAGCAGTCACTCTACGTCACTACAGGGACCATAACAAAATATATAGCAAAAGTCACCCTACGTCACTACAGGGAACATAACAAAAAATATAGCAACAGTCACTCTACGTCACTACAGCGAACATAACAAAATATAGCAACAGTCATTCGACGTCACTACAGGGAACATAACAATAAGTATAGCAACAGTCACTCTACGTCACCACAGGGAACATAACAAAATATATAGCAACTGTCACCCTACGTCACTACAGGGAACATAACAAAATATAACAACAGTCATTCTACGTCACTACAGTGAACATAACAATAAATATAGCAACAGTCACTCTACGTCACCACAGGGAACATAACAAAATATATAGAAACAGTCACTCTACGTCACTACAGGGAGCACAACAAAATATATAGCAAAAGTCACTCTATGTCACTACAGGGAACATAACAAAATTTATAGCAACAGTCACTCTACGTCACTCCAGGGAACACAACAAAATATATAGCAACAGTCACTCTAAGTCACTACAGGGAACATAACAAAATAGATAGCAACAGTCACTCTACGTCACTCCAGGGAACACAACAAAATATATAGCAACAGTCACTCCACGTCACTACAGGGAACATAACAATATATAAAGCAACAGTCACTCTACGTCACTACTGAGTCCAAAAGAAAATTTTGGTTCGAGAAGTTCAGAGAGTGAAGCAGCTGAATTTGATCCCAGCTTTCTGGCTTAGCAAGTCACTACAGGGAACATAACAAAATTTATAGCAACAGTCACTCTACGTCACTACAGGGATCATAACAAAATATATAGCAAAAGTCCCTCTACGTCACTACAGGGAACATAATAAAATATATAGCAACAGTCACTCTACGCCACTACAGGGAACATAACAAAATATAACAACAGTCATTCTACGTCACTACAGGGAACATAACAAAAAATATAGCAACAGTCACTCTACGTTATATAGCAACAGTCACTCTACGTCGCAACAGGGAACATAACAAAATATATAGCAGCAGTCACTCTACGTCACTACAGGGACCATAACAAAATATATAGCAAAAGTCACTCCACGTCACTACAGGGAACATAACAAAATTTATAGCAACAGTCACTCTACGTCACCACAGGGAACATAACAAAATATATAGCAGCAGTCACTCTACGTCACTACAGGGACCATAACAAAATATATAGCAAAAGTCGCTCTACGTCACTACAGGGAACATAACAAAAAATATAGCAACAGTCACTCTACGTCACCACAGGGAACATAACAAAATATATAGCAGCAGTCACTCTACGTCACTACAGGGAGTCCAAAAGAAAATTTTGGTTCGAAAAGGTCAGAGAGTGAAGCAGCTGAATTTGATGCCAGCTTTCTGGCTTAGCACGTCACTACAGGGAACATAACAAAATTTATAGCAACAGTCACTCTACGTCACTCCAGGGAGCCTAACAAAATATATAGCAAAAGTCACCCTACGTCACTACAGGGAACATAACAATATATAAAGCAACAGTCACTCTACGTCACTCCAGGGAACACAACAAAATATATAGCAACAGTCACTCTGCGACACTACAGGGAACATAACAAAATATGGTTCGAAAAGTTCAGAGAGTGAAGCAGCTGAATTTGATCCCAGATTTCTGGCTTAGCACGTCACTACAGGGAACATAACAAAATAGATAGCAACAGTCACTCTACGTCACTTCAGGGAACATAACAAAATATATAGCAGCAGTCACTCTACGTCACTACAGGGAACATAACAATAAGTATAGCAACAGTCACTCTACGTCACTACAGGGAACATAACAAAATATAGCAACAGTCATTCTACGTCACTACAGGGAACATAACAATAAATATAGCAACAGTCACTCTACGTCACTACAGGGAATATAACAAAATATATAGCAACAGTCACTCTACGTCACTACAGGGAACATAACAAAATATATAGCAACAGTCACTCTACTTCACTACAGGGAACATAACAAAATATA